GACTCCTGGTGACCAATTCCCGTCCCTAAGAAACGCCCATCACTGTGAGTTTTGTCTGACAACAAATTCTGAACGCAGGCTAGAAGTAGGGTGTGAGTCAGTGTCGCCTTGAGGACAGTGCGTTTTGGACAAGGAAGACCAGTTAATGCGACTCTTTTTTTATTATGACTCTTATTTACATTTATACACCCCAAGTTGGGGGATTTTTTTTTTCATTTTTATGCTTATTTACCAATTTCTGCAGTTTGAAATGGATCAAAATGTTATCAAAGGCATGTTCCAAGTGGGTCACATGTCAGGCGGGGCGCTTCTCCTGACTCAAATCGTGTCGCAGGAGTGGATAAACTCAAGATCAGCAGGTGAGAGAAAAAGCAGCCAGCCGCAGAAGCGGATGCATCCTAAGTCAGCACATGAGATGAACAGCTGGATTAGCAGGCAACGTGGCAGGCCAAAAAGGTCAGAAGACAAGGCAGGTATCAGACCTAGACCCAGGCGAACAAACAGAGCAAGCAAGCTTTCCCATAGCTTCCACTTATATTGGAAGCAGACCACAACCAGGAGATTTCATCGAGATTAGATCACACCTGCCAACGCTGTGAATCCCAGCCCAGCCAAGCTGACACAAAACCTTTTGTGGTCACCGTTGGAAACAAAGACACGGGCCAGTCATTGCAACGTAGGGCCTTGGTGACAGGATACCGGAGATCACAGGATGCAATTTTGCAAGATCGGTGACCTACCTATTCATGGCAAATACCTCTTTTCAGCAACATACATGCCAAGGTTGACCTCGCGGGATGGAATACACAGGCATCAAATAGACTACATCTGTGGAAAGAATCTGACAGAGGAAGAAGATCAGCATCATCAGCTGACCAGGGGCTCAACGGCTCATGTGCAAGTCCAAGTGGAAGCTGAAGAAGGTTGTACCTCCGGTCGACCACCATAAAGACAACAGCCTGGGTGTCCCCGTGGGGCAGCTCTACTGTCTCCCGGGCTCGCCGTGGGTCAAAATCCACACGATGGAGCCAAAGACATGAACGTTCTACAGGCAACTTCCTGTAGAAGTTGGGGAACCACACCCTAAGCCTTCCACAGTGGCTCCCCATGTCACGATCCCACCAGCGCTTCCATCTCTCTCACCCGGGAGGTTGTTCCCGCAACCCCCATGGTGCCCAGAGCCCCCACTTCTTCCTCTGTACCCAGGAATCCATTTATTCGCTGACTCATTCTCCCCTTCAACCAAGCTTGTCCGAGTGCCAGCCATTTGCTGGACACTGGCCTTGGCGACCCAGTGAGGAACAGAGGAGACCACCGCCCTGATCCCTGAGTCCCGGAGACTCTCAGAGGAAGAGTGACAAGACCAAGCCAGGGACACAGATGCGGTCAGTGGAGGTGACATTTGGGCAAACACCTGAAGGTAAGGGAGGGAGTCTCTGAAGATGAGCATCCAGGCGAAGGGCAAAGGCCTGTGCAAAGGCCCTGGGGCAGCACTGGCCTGGTGAGCTCGACAGGCAGTGAACAGAGTGGAGGGAGCTGGGGAGAGGGGAGGAGCGGGCAGAGAGGGGACAGAGCAGGGCGCAGCAGGAGTTTGCATTGTGGGGAGGACTTGGGCTTTGACCCTGACGGAGATGGGCGCCCAGGAGGGATGGGGATCCCTGCAAGGTTCCATCTGCTCGGGTTCCACCCCTGCTCGGCGTCCCCCACC